TATATATGTATATGTATTTTTTAATCTATATGTACATATATTTATATATATTTATATACATATACTGTTTACACATATTTGGCAATATGGCAAGCTTCTAGCTGTGCGAATGGGCTGCTTTTTACACAAGCCTTTGATCAGCATCGTGACATGAGAGTGAGAGATATAAGGACAATGGTGGCCTGTGATTAGTTTGATAATGCAGTTGATGCCAGCTAGATAGGTCTGGATCATGGAGGACCGGTTTTTTTAATTGGAATGAGCATGGGTGATAAAATTGCTCATGGACATGACGTCAACACGACGATATGGCAGCTGGTAAGTGGGGTGATGTGCCTTGAAGCAATTCCAGACAGTTAATTAGGCTGAGAGAGTGCTTGGGGCGACACTGTTAATTCTTTTATATACTTCACTCCGTTATCAATTACTGACAGGTCCGAAATACACACATGCACAAACAGGACCTATACATGCACTAAGTGGAGAGATGTCAGAATGAGGGGCTGCCCATGGACAGGCGCCCCAAGCAGTTGGTGGGGGTTTGCACCTCAGCAGTGCCCAGGAGGTGAACTCCCCAGCTACCAGTCCACGCTCTATATTTGGTCCAGACGGGGACTTGAACAGGCAAACCTCCGGTTCCCAACTCAAGTCCCTATGGACTGAGCTACTGCCGCAGGATAGAGGTTTCTTAGCTGAGGAACTGGTTGAATGTCGTGGCTGAAAATGGTGGGACTGGTATGGGGTGGAGATCCAATTCTGGGGCCAAGTGTCTGAATTTCTGGAACGAGAAACGAGATAGTGAATCGGCAATGCTGTTGTGGTGACCAGGAATGTGGGCTGCCCTGAGAATGAAATAGTGTTGAGCTGAGATCAATGTGAGTCTGCACATGAACTGCATGATGGCTAAGGAACGAGATCACCCTTTGTTAAGGATATCCACGACTGCGGTGTTGTCAGAATGTATTAGTATGGACTTCCTAGACCATTCATGCCCCCAAAGAATACAGCTATGACTATGGGATACAGCCCATGAAGTGCAGATGAGGGAGAGTCAAGGGCTTTGAACTCTGTGGGCCATGCAGAGTTGAATGTCCTTGGGTTGAGTGATGAAGTTGTCGTAGAAAAAAGAAATGCCATTCCAAGAAGAGAGGAAATGTTGCCACAAACGCATTTCCATTCCACATGCATCGTCCAGGACAACTCTATCATGGAGAGAGGGGATGGCTGCGGCTTTGGTTAAAAGACTGTACAGGAATGATTCGGCTTGTGGAATTATGCTAATGGCATAGTTGAGGTAGCCGAGAAGGGCCAGTAGCTGGCATTTGGTGCATTTGTCTGTTTGACAGAAGCAGAGTGATGTGTTGTACTTCATCTGTGGGCAAAGATGCCTGAAAGGAAATGGAGTCCAGGTTGATGCCTAGGAACCTGATGGAAGAGCTTGGGTCCGTGTATCATTCCTTCATTCCATTTTCAATTTAAAATCAAAAATCAAAAAACGAAAAACAGTTTGTTTTTCTTATTTTTGATTTTATGCTCACATCAAAAATAGCAAATCGAAAAATGGGCCACGATTGAAATTTGATTTTGATTTTTCATTTGATCTAACTTGCGTGACCCCGAACTATTTTCTACAGAAGCACACTGGATAAAAAAAAATTAGACACCTTATCTTGTAATTACGAGAAAAGATCTTGTAATTACCAGGAGCAAATGCGAGTTAAATGCTTGCACTGCAGAGCACTTCTGCCCGTGCCGGACAGAAACTTTGCCCCGCCGGAAATCCGGCACTGTGCCGGAGAACTTTAACCCCTGAAGGGAATGCCTTTTCCCTTCAGGAATCGTTGAAGGCCAGCAATAGTCCATTCTCTGATGCCAGGCTCTGTTTGTGGACATGGAGATGGCTGCATTGAGGAGTAGGGTGCTCCGCAACGAGGCCGGTTCTACGCAGGGGCAAGAGGGTGCAATGCCCCCTTAAACAAATGTCTTGCCCCCTCAAATCAAATCCGCCTAAAAAGGCGCAAAACAGAAAAGTTTTCTCATGTCTCCACTCCACTCCGTGCTGTGTGCCGGCTGTGTGTGATCTACTGTCTGCAGTCGGCAGAGACCCTCCCCCCAGTGAACACCCAATCACTATTTAGTATGCAAATGCGCCAAGATGCATCGGTGTCAGGTTTCTCAGTCTCAGTGGGGCAGAATGCAGTGTGAGCACAGATAGGCGGTGGGCCGAAGCCGCGTATCTGCATTAGTTTTACAAAGTAATGATCCCCGTGCCGGGACAACCTGGATTTGTAAAATTGTGAAGATTATTTTATTCTTCATCAGATCCGGGTTGTTGCCACTCTATATTCTTTTTCCACAATTATAATTTAAAGTTTGTTTAATATTCAGGCAAACGCTGCAGTCTACTATAACAGTTTGACCAATAGAACGCTGAGATTTCGAGGGAGGGCCGTCGTTAGCCTATCAGATTTAAGCTGTGTCCCAATTCAGGGTCTGCATCCTTCGGAGGACCCGGCCTACGCAGCCTCCGAAGGCTGGACCTTCGGAGGCACCTCCGAAGGATGCGTCACCCGTTGTTAAATGGGACAGTCTAGACTACGGAGGATTTCCTGGTTGCGTCACGACGTCATGACTCCTGCCGCCCAAGCCCGGGAAAGACACAAAAACATAACAGACAGACAACTTAACAGACAACACGGAAACATAACGGACAGACAACTTAACAGACAACACGGAAACATAACAGACGACAATGATGGAGCCAGAGGTTGTGATTTTGTTTTTTTTAATATATTTTTTGTTGGAGGAAGAGGAGACGCGGCTCCAGCGACAGCGACACCGGCGGCTTGTTTATCTCCGGCTGGGAGAGAGCTGTGGGGAGGTAACGTTAACGTTAAACCTGTTATTTTAACCCACATTAATGTTCATACATAGCTAGCATAGTTCATGGTAATTAATATAGCCGTTAATAAACGGGTACCGTTAAGTGACAAACGTTAGCCATATAAACTATAGATTGACATTTAAATTATGGTTCATGTCATTTAACCATTACACTTGATACAGGGTTCGTACAGGTGCTTAAAATCTTTGAAAATGCTGTAATTTTAATGCTGTGCTTTCAAGGTCTGAAAAGTGCTTGAAATGTAGTTTAAATGCTTGAAAGGGCTTATAAAGTACTTGAATTGAATAGTAAAATGTGTATGAACTCTGTAAATATCCCTGACTTAATTCAATATTAAAATGCTGTGTCATTAAACATCAAAACCATACTGACAATCCAAAGTGGATAGATGGACAAATAAAGCATTATTGATCTAAGCTATAACTTTAACTAGCATTGTCTTATTAACTAAAATTAAATAGCTATTGTTGCTTTAATCATTTATGTTCTTCTGTTCTTACCTCCCTTCCCCATCCAGACGAGGCAGATGTACTGCTGCCTTAATATGAATGTTCCGGTTCTACAAATATTTTTTGATGATCATGACACCCGACAAGATTTCAGGCTGAGCAGAGAGTCCCTGGCGGTGCTGCTGGACCTTCTCCAACAGGAAAGACGACACGGATGGGGTGCCACAATAGAGACCTTGGTCTTTCTCTTCTGGCTGGCGAGTGGTGCATCATACAGGGTGGTCTCAAGGGTGTTTGGGATGCCTCGCTCCACTGTTCACCGCATCGTTCATCGAGTTACTGAGGAGGTGGTGGCCATTCGCCACAGGGTCATCTACCTCCCCAAGACCGCTGACGACCTGGCGGCAGTAACTCAGGGGTTTGCAGGGCTGGCAAGACACAGAGCTTTTCTAAAAGCTGCTGGAGCAATCGACGGCTGCCATGTCAGGATCAAGCCACCAAGCGGCCCTGATGGTCAATGCTATAGGAATCGCAAACTGTTTGCGTCTATTATCCTGCAAGCAGTTTCTGACCATCAGGGCCGCTTCATCGACACGTACGTGGGCTGGCCGGGGTCGGTGCACGACTCCAGGGTACTCCGGCACAGCCCACTGTACAGGCGGGCCATCTACCCTCCTCCAGGGTACTTCATCTTGGCAGACGGTGGGTACCCATGCCTCCAACATCCACTCCCCCTCATCACTCCCTACAAGCGGCCGGTACAAGGTGTGGGAGCCCAGCGCTTCAACAGCCATCATTCCAGGGCACGCTCCATCATAGAGCGTGCCTTTGGGATGATGAAGACGAGGTTTAGGGCCATCTTCCTCCAAGCGCTGGAGGTGCACCACACCTTTGTGCCTCAGGTATGTCATTACACAACAGAATTATTGTTAAATGGTGAATACCAGTAAATTAATTAAAATTAAATTACAATTACATTAAATTAATCTTTTTTTTTCCTTCTTTTCTTCAGGTCATAACAGCATGTGCCGTCCTGCACAACATCTGCCTGGGTGCTGGTGACATCATGGCCCCAGAGGATGAAGTGCAGGACGACATGCCGGAGGATGAGGGGGAGAACGGGTTGGAGGCAGTCAGTGGTGCTCCATGGCGGAACCAGCTGTCTGCCGAGGTATCTGCCCTGGAGGAGGGTGTCCTTGACCATGATTACCTTTAGAGGGCAAGTAAAATAATTTTAAAGCTATTCCTATTTAAAGTGTTTTGTAAAGTTTTGTTTGTTGAAGTAGTTTGTGGTGGGATGTTTAAAAAGTTGTGCAGTAGTATTCTGTTTGTTTTATTCTTGCCTCTCTTTTAAACATTTTTAGTGACATGGCAGCCGTCGATTGCGTCAGCCCTGCAAACCCCGTTGATGGACGATGTGGTGGACAGTGGAGACATGCATCCCCCACCCCCCACATGATGTCCCACTCACAGCCAGAAGACTCCAGGGTCTTTATTGTGGCATCCCATCCAGTCCAGCAGCACCACCGGGGACTCCTGCTCAGCCAATAATCATACTGTAAATAAATGTAGTTTTTTGTTATTTAATAGGTTAGTAATGCATTTAATAATTTTCTGCTGATCATTTGTAAATAGTTGTACATGTTAAGAATGCCCACTTGTAAATAACTAAAAATGTTCAGATTGTATCTTTGTAAATAGTTATGAGAAAAAAATAAATTGTGTTGTCACTGAAAAGTAGTTCAAAAGTTTACTCTAGTTGTAAATAAGAAATGGAACGGAAAATGATTACAAGACTTTAATTTAACTATATACAACATTTGAAAAAGATAATGGAACTATATAATATTTTTAATCAACAACTAACTATAACTATATACAACATTTTAAATTAACATTTGAAAACAAGAAACAGCAACACATAAAACTTAATTGAGCAGGATAAAAAAAAAAGCTAAAAAAAATCACTGCGTCTCAACCATTCTCTCCAGTAAATTAAAAAGTCTCTCCATTCTCTCCCGGCTCTCTCTTTCCCTCCTCTCCTCAGCCTCCCTCTGCAACCTCATGTCCTCTCTCAACAGCTCCAACATCTCATCTTCTCTTTCCCTTCTTCTTTTACGTGTCCCTCCTGTTGCTGGCCCTGGCTGCCTCTCCTCCTCCTCCTCCTCCTCCTCCTCCTCCTCATGCTGCTCACCCACTGCAGCACTTGGCCCTGGTGTGTCCTCAGGGATGGAGGCAATTAGGACAGGTGGGGCAATGGAAGGCCTCTGTCCTAAAACCTCATCCATGAGGACAAACCAGGGCCAGGTGGCAGCAGTGGGCTTCCCGCCGACCCTCTGCCCTGTCCCTGGATCTTTGCATTCCTAAGGTAGAGGAAATCAATCACAACACCAGCAATTTTCTGCTAAGTATTTATGAAAAAAGTCTTGAAAAGGAGGTTATCATGGACTCAAAAGCAGGTATGTCTGAGATGCTCTTTGGAATGGGATTCATGTAGTGATAAAGAAACGAAGAAAAAAAAACCCAAGGCACTCTCCCAAAGCAGTTAAAATGCCTTTATTCTTAAGCCATGGTCATATAAACCTTAAAAACACAGTCCTTCGACACGTTTCAGCATCAAGCCTTCAACAGGAAGTTAAACAGATTCAAGGAATAAAGAATAAAGGCATTTTAACTACTACGGCAGAGTGCCTTGGAGTTTTTTCTACATTTCTTTATCAAAGTATTAACTTGGTTAAAACAAATGTAGTTTCCATATCATTATCCAAACCTGCACGTACTTTATTTTTTTTTTTTTAAGTTGTCCCACTTTTTTTTTTGCCTGTTGAGGCTCCACTTTCCCCTCCAGGCCCATTTTTTGAAGGATTGTTCTAAACAAGAGAGAAGCATTACAAAAGGTAAACACACAAGATCACAAAAGGTGACATCAGGACAGACATTAAACTCCCACCACCACCACCTAAAAACAACATTAACTTGTGATCTTAGGATTATATTTGTACTTTGTACAGGATTTGGGTTAATTTAAGTAACCTTTACATACAAATATATGTAGAGTACAGATGGGCTATTTATTATTGCCTTAACAGGTACCTCCATCCGAGTGTGGCCGTATTTTTGGCCCCTGTGAAGAGGTGGTCATTTTCACCCCTGAGTTTGATAAACCCCTCCGTTTGCTCCTTGCTCCCTACAACAAAATGAAATGTAAGACATATTTTCTATTATGTCAACAGGCAAAATGATATCCATATACAGGCCTAATAACGACAATAACAATAATGCTCCTGAAGTTAGCTCTAGGCTATATTCCATCCAAAAGTTTAGTTTAGTTTAGTACAATTTTACAGCCTAGAAATACGCACACACAACTCACAACATATCCTCTCATTAACTTTATATTTGTTCACTGCGGTGCGTTTATGCACCTGATGTGAGGTATAAACATCCTACAACATCTCCACAGTTACAATAAGATATAACAAGTCACTCTCCAAGCTTTTAAACAACTGAAAGTGAAGGGGTTTAACGTTAAGGCTTTAACCGTTACCGTTACTTTTAAAGGCTAACTGAGCTCCTCCTATCAATAGGTTAACGTTAAGCTAACGTTACATCGTGGAGCTGGCTCTACATTCCGGTGGCTACGTGTTAGCATTACTAACGTCACGTATTTTAACAGCCATTTAGAGGTTTTAAGGCCCCTTGAACTTCTGGCGTTAAGTAAAAATCTGTTACTTACATTTGAAAGTGTATTTGCTGCCGCTGCTGGTGCCGCTGCTTGTGTTTGCCGCCATTGTCAAAAAGATCCGGGTTGAACAAAGGCACGCAAAGCATGTTGGGATATGGGAGGCCACGAAGGATAGTCGCGGTGCATCCTCCGAATACAGGGAAACGGAGGGCGCATTTGTCATCTGCAAAAAAGTAAGGTTTTTGGAAAGTGATTGAACTGATTGTAAATCACGTGTAGCATTAGAGAGTTTGTAACAAAGAAACAAAACATAACATATACATTATATAGAAAGCTACATCATTTTTCCCCTCCTGCAGGAGTCATCACACACACTTTCTGTGTTCTCACTTTTCTTTTTTGACAGGTACCGTGAGTAGTCTCTGAAACAGGAGAAGTGGTATCGTGCCTCACTAGCCACTAGGTCCCTGTCACGAATGTATAGAAACAGACTCTCATCCTGTCTTTCTTCAGCAGCAAGAAGTAACTTCCCTGCAGTGAGTGTTTCACACCGAGAAAGTTTTTCTTTTATTCTCTTCCAGCTGTGTGCTTCATATCTGTATTTTCATGTTTGCAAATCAAACACTGTATTGGGAGCAAGTGTGCTGCTCTCTCAGAAGTGTGGAAGTCACTTGTGTGTGATCTTAGAGCCCGTGTCTTTGCTGGAGTTTCCTCACCATCCTCTGTCTCTGTTGCTACTTCTAGCACTAAAAGACAAACAGAAGACATCCACAGATTCAGGCTTCACCTTGGTTTGAGGCTGTGCACCATTCTTATTCCCCTACATCACTGCGTCGTGACATCACAATTATTGTATGTGAAGACTTATCTTTATTCATATATGTAGTGCTTGTTAAAGCAACACTCTGTAACTTTGACCATGACCCGTGGCTTCAAAAAACTAAACTATGCACGTTAGTATGTCGCACAAAACAGCAGTTTTAGTAAAACTGGGTCATATTTTATGGATAAAATGTCCTCTGGTTTTCCCTCTGATGTCCTACCACTGCTCTGTCTGTCTGCAGCCTTTTATTTAGCAGAGCTGTCCCCAACTACCCACTGCTGCAGCTGCAGCATAAATGCACGTTTATGCAAAAACGTGCATGGTTAAGTTTCAGTTTTCGAAGCCGCGTGTCGCAGCCAAAGTTACATACTGTTGCTTTAATAGTTGGCTTAGTACTTGTGTGTCCGAAATAGGGAGTACTAATGCTTGCATATTTTTTTAAATAGGTCCCATACTATTCTGTCCTATCTCACTTGAGGGGAAAATAGCAGTTGTATAAAAATGTTGGGATTTTACTTTTGTGTTATTTCAGTAGATCATCTGAGATTAGGGTGACCAGACATCCCCAGTTTGGCTGACCTGTCCCAAGCTAGAGCTGTCCCCGGAAATGTCCCCAATTTCAACTGTGGATTAAAAAAACACAAGTGAAGACGCCACAGCTCTGATTCTGGTTGCGCACAGACTGATGCAGTACTACCTGTGACCGCTATGTGGGTTGCATTGGCAGAGTGGCGCTGTTCATATTTTTACTCATTTACTCCACAGACAGAAGACAGAAGCTATTTTATGAGGGCAAAAGAAGAAATAAGTCAGAGTTGGAGCGGACTGAAGACTTATTTCACTGATAGTAACATATACTGTTGTTGGTGTGGCTGTATTATAGTGAACATTACCATGTGATAGCTATTACAATATATTATGATGTGGCTCTGTTTTAGGAGAGGAAGATTACTGATAGAAGAGTGAAAGGAAGCAGGGGGAAAAGAAATGTCCTTTTAATGACAATAAAAAACAAAACATTTACGCCTGTAGACCACAATGACACGGTGGTCCATTGCATTCTTTGAAAGTTGTCAAAATACATGAAAATACATATGTATTTAGTTCATAATAATATTTAATGACTTCTGTACTCTGAACTTGAAATGTCCCTGCTTTTCATTTCAGAAATCTGGTCACCTTATCTGAGATTAAATGGAAATAGCAACTGCGTGTTTTCCCCTTGCTGTTTTTAATTAATGTAGTTTGTGAATGTTACTGAGCACTTTATTGGACTTCAGAAGTAATGTGAATGAGTAAGGGGCTTAATTTAAGTTAGCACTTTTCTTCATCTCAACAGTGTTCACTGCAGCTAGATGGGCAAATGACTCCCTCCTGTGATGGAATCAAGTGGGTGAGAATGCAGTGATCTGATTTATCGAATAGATTTTGACTAGGGTTTTGCTCATTTGAGTAGAGTGAAATACAAAGCTTATGTCTGAACAGTGAATTACGCACAATAAACTTGAGTTGTCAGAACCTGATCGTGTGAGAGGATGTCATTGTAGCTCCTAATTTCTTTTCTTTGTTCACAGATTCAGCATTCAAGATTCAGATTTGAAGTTCAAGATCCACATTTACAGTTTCACACTGCATGTTTGATACCAACCTTCTGTTCCATTTTCCTTTTGAATTAAAGCTTCCTTTTCTCTTCTCTTCTGGGCTCGTTTTATTTTTGTTATATTAGTAAAATGGATGTAGCAATGATAGCCAGCATTAGCTGGTATAGCATATTCAGCAGGTTACTGGCTGTTAAAGTTAAATCTCTGCACTGCCTCTTCAGCTATAAGACTCTCTTCAGTCCCTAAATCTTTCCACTCAAACACTGATTTAATAAATTTTTGCCATCCTGTGTCTGTAAAAGGAGTGATTGGTCCATCTTTCTGAATTATATGCATACAGCACTCCATTTCTTATGCTAATGTAATGCTAGCAAACACATAAAAAAATAGCAACAAAGATTAATATAGTGGCGGGAGGAGGGTCGTTTTTATTATGTTTCATCATTTTGACAGATAAATGACAGGTGAAGTTCCCAAGCAAGATAACAGACCTCAAATTTGTGAAATCAGATATGTTTATTTTGTATAAAGCTAGCAGAGAAAATATACATGGTACCTACACAGACTGTTTAAAAAAAGTCTGTAACGTGTAAAGACCACGTTATATACATAACATAAAAGACATAAAAGAGCCTTAATAGGCTATGTATGTGTGGCTCTCGGTGGCTCTACATGCATCGCCATTTTTCCAAGGGTTTTTTTTCTTTTTTCCAAGCGTCCCATTGGATAATAACTACAATCACGTCACGCATGTCGGACCCCGGACGTAGCTGTCTACTCTGTTTGCCGGAAAAAAGGTAACGTGATAAAGTTACTGATCTACAAAAATGTGCAAGAAGTACCGGTGGCAACAATTTGATTCTTTTGATTTATTGAAAACTTAAGAAGTTGTCAACAAAAATCTGGGTCCTCTCCCGATAGGGATCGTTTAAATACAAGGAATGGCGGCTTCGGCCCACTGCCTAAGAGTGTGAGCCTGCGAACCAGAGCCCTTGAGTCGCGTCTTCTCCATTCACTCTAATGGGCCATAAGGTTTGTTCGAGATGAGCCAGTCCTGTGCAGATTTGATCACCGGCGATCAGCGCACAATGCATGCCGGTTAGTTTTGTGTCCGACTTCATCTCGACTTGCTCTGACATATTACAAAAGTGGACGGTGATAAAGCCGCGAGAGCGAGGCGGCCGCAGTTTTTAGAGCCAGGCGCTGCAGTTGCTCTCCACCGACTGCACCGCCTGGCTCTCACCTGATCTAACAGCTGATTGGTTAAGATGTCGACTCAACAATATGACGTTTTAGATAAACTACTCATTTTTGTTGAATTTTAGAGATTAAGATTGTATTTGTCTGACCTGAAGGTTTATTATGTGAACAGAAAACATGTTGTGTGACTGATGGTGAAAACAAACTGATATATGGGTCTGATCACTTTTTTGATGAATTGACATCATTCCAGACAGGATGTTAGTGTGTCTGTGACTTCCTGCACGGACTGAAGGCTGCTGGAAACTGTCGGGAAACTGTCCGACTTCACTGCAGCTTTTTGTCACCGCCCCCCGCTGCGTCCGCCTGCTCTCGTCTACTTGTCAGGCGAGGCGCAGTTCATCTCGAACGAGCCTATTTTTTCACAGCAAAGGCGGATCGCAGAGCCTCTAAATAGTTCCCGGAAGTAAGCGGCACATGCTAGCAG